CTAGAAAATAGGTGGTGCCACACCAGTCACATGACCTCGATGACGCAACATTATTATCTTAACATATCTAAAAAAATTGTAATTTTAACTTGCCATATGTCGTTTGATTACTATGATAACTTGATGATTATTGACTTGCTCACACTAATTATAATACAATTAAAAAATAATTATATTAGAGAAACATATCGACCTAATACATAAAAATAACAGATGGGATTGGAATTCGTTGAAATTCACTAAAGTTCCATTTATACATAATCAAATACCTTAAAGATATATATTTTCATCAGAATAATGCCATAAACTAAACATAAAGGATGCATATGGGAGCCATATGTTGCAAGATATACATATAGGAAACTTTACTTGTTAGGAAATCCAATCTGCATTCTAATTGGCTCTCAGAGAGAAAAAATTATAGTATCAGGTTGCTAATAATAGTTAGGAATACCAAACATGCTTGAATTAACTTTATGATTTATCTTGTTAGAGAACCATTAGCTTTATTTTATTTAAAAATACAACTTTCATTGCAGTGGTATTGCTAATGGAGAAATCTTGAAAAGTTCAATTCAATAAAATATAGATAAATATACATAAAATTATAGATGAATATAATTTCTGCAATAACTATTATACTATAAAATCCACTAAAAGATGTTCAACTGTCATAGGATCAGTTTCAGTTAAACAAACAACAACAATACTTTATAAAAACAACCTTCATCCTTAAAGTTAACAGTGATGCCACAGATATATCACTACTATTTTCGTCTACAAGGAACAATGTATTTTGAATCCAAGAATTAGTAAAATCGTAATTAGTTAAGATATAATTTTACTTATTTTGATCAATGAAAGTATTTAAACTTCTTAATGTCAGTTGTGAAAATAATGTTATATTAATGACAAGAGAAAAAGACTAAAATATCTGAACTGATTTCTAAAAATAACAGATGCACTGTAAAAAATAAACAAAATTACCATGAGTTTGAACCACTACACAAGACCAGTTCAAATAAAAGCACACTGAGCATCTTAATTGTTTAAAAACTTTATGTTTCTCAAAATATTAGACTGTAATGTAAAATATGATTTTACCACACACTAGTTTAATTTTCAACAAAATAAGTATGTATAGATCTAATAAATATACACCTGGAAAAAAGTTAAGCACCCCCAAATATTTTTCAGGATTGCTTATTGAAAATAAGGTTTAATTTTCATGATGTTGAG